AAATCTGGAAATAATGCTTATAGATGGAAAATTAATAACAAGGCAAAGAACTGTTATTGTTAGACAGACGGTAAAATGATTCTCAATTTAGTCAACCGTCCGAAACTCTCGCTTAACGTACGATCCAAGCTTATTTTTTTTTATTAAATTGAAGTATTTATTCATTTCTCGTAGGGTCACTTTATAGGCATACTTTTTGTGTGTGTGAGTGTGCGCGGATTCACTTTTTCGTTGACGATTTCGAGAATATGTATCAACCTATTTGAATGATTGAAAAACATTTGATTCCTATTGATAAGGAGACGTGCTGATTAGTTTTTGGCAAACGCAGATCCAGCCGTTACAGAGATACGGAGCAAAGAGTGCAGAAAATAGAAATCGAGTTTTTGAGAGAACGGAGCATCCGATTTGAATGATCTATAAAACATTCAATTCGGGTAGACGTAGTGATTAGTTTTTGGAAAAGTCAAAATGGCAGGTCCAGCCATTTTGGAGGTACTGAGCTAAATGTGCAAAAAATTGCAGTTTTTGAGAAAACTAAGCATCCGATTTGAATAATTCAAAAAACTTTATGTTTGTTTTGACATAATAATTGGTTTTGAACAATTTTTTTTTTAGATTTTAATTTTGGTTCTGGCTAAAGTTCTGAAGATCACCTAAATAAATAATTAATTTTATCTTTATTTAAATTTAAATAAATAATTTTAACTTTGTAATTCAGTTTATATAATTCTTATAAATATTAGACAATGTTACAGTATTTATAATAATATATTCGAAAACATTTAATATTCCTCGAACATTTCGTTTCAGTTCGGGAAATTCCAGCAATTTGTTCGATGCCATATAACATTAGTTTTTGTTATACCTCAGAAAGAAAGAAAGATACGTATGAAAGTATATAGATGAAAATGCGATGTCTAGCTAATTATTGCTTTCTAAATTTGTTCTGTTACGCAAATATTGATGGAGTTATAATTGTTTGAAGAGTGGACGGCAGTGCAACGTGCAACCAGAGATGAGCAGAGACTATTTCAAGCCTTTTTTTTTAACCCTTTGCCGGTTCAAAATAATAGGAGTTACAGTAAAATTTATCATATCTGCTCCATTTCCATAACCCCAACAACCACCAACCACGCATGTCTTCAACAATCAGAGTTCATCAAATGCGAAATCTTTGCAACAAAAACAAAAGTTACAGTTCATCGGAATAAATAAGAAATAACAATTTATCGGAATGAATAAGCCATTCTCCAAGTACTGACTCCCCATTTTCCGTTTCAACTAAATCAGCTCCCAATTTTTCGTCAAAAATACCCAATTTTTCGTCAAAAATGTTCAATCATTAATTTAATCTTTCGCAGGTTTGCTCTTACGAGATTGAACGCCAGACAATTTCTATTTCGATTCCACATTAACATCAAACGAAAAGAAAATTGAATAAGTAGATTAAGCAATAAGCAAAACAATAAATGATTAATTTTCAGAGTTATTAATCGGTTAGAGTTATTAATTACAAATTTCATTTCCAAAGCTCGTTTTTGCGCTCCCTAAGGCGTGCGCCCTCATCTTTCGCATGTATTGCATTCAAGGTAGGACCGGCCCTGGGTGGCGGCATAGATAAACTAGTGGTATATGGCATCGTGCCTTAACGCAAATTGCTGGAACTTACCGTGCCGTAACAAAATGGTCGAGGAATATTAAATGTTTTCAAATAGATTATTATAAATATTGTAACATTGTCTAATATTTATAAGAATTATATATACTGAATTGCAAAGTTGAAATTATTTGTTTAAAGTGTATTAGAGCTTTAATCAGAATTACAATTAAAATTGATATACAGAAAAATAAAAAAATTGAAACAAAATTTTTTTAACAATAGCAATTATTTTCTTAAAACAAGCAGAAAGTTCTTTGAATCATTCAAATCGGACGCATAGTTCTCTAAGAATCTGATATTTTTGCACATTTAGCTCTGTATGTCCGCTGAGCCTGCCTTTGCCAAAAACTAATCACCACTTTTCCCCGTCATTACGAATCGAATGTTTTTTGGATCATTCAAATCGGATGCTCCGTTCGCTCAAAAACTTGATTTTCTGCACTCTATGCTCTGTATCTCCATAACGGTTGGACCTGCCTTTTCTAAAACTAATCAGCACATCTTCCTATCAATAGGAATCGAATGTTTTTTAAACCATTCAAATCAGTTGATCCGTGCGCCCGAAAACGTGGACGAAAAAATGCGGACATACAAAACACACACACATACATTTTTTCTGAGGTATGGCAAAATGTTCAGAAACCTTCAAAACTTTTTCACTTCTGAACTTAAAGGTGAGATTAGCCTATTTCCAAAATTTCATGCAAATCGGAACACAGTAAAAAAATTTCAGAGGTGCATAACCTCTCTCTCCATTTACTGCACTATAGTATAAAGATATAACTAGCTGTAAGTGGAATTCTGTCTTAAGGCAATTAAGGCATCGTGCCTTAAGGCAAATTGCTGGAACTTCCCGTACCAAATTTTTTTTTTAAAAACGATTAAGATTTTTGAAAAAAATTTACTTTGAAAAAATAAGATTTTTGAGAAACTATATATTGGACAAAAAATTACTTTTTTTTGAAAAAAAAAAAAATTTTTTTTTTTTTTTTTTTAAAAAAATGTTTTATTTTATTTTGACATATTTTGGAAGATCTAAACTTTTTTTCAGAGCAATCGTACTGCTTTAACTGCATAAAGACGAAATATCAAAGCCCGTAAGCGCCGCGTCGCCGTCTAACGCGTAAACATTGGTACGGAACCCATAGAAATGTAAAAAAAAATTATACTTATTGTTAAAATCTCTATAAAATATTTGATAATTTGATGTGCATATGTCTAATGATCATTTTTGACCGCCAAATGGCATTTTTTTTTACTTTTTTCATCAGATCTCCGAAACCGTTAGACCTGCCTTCATGAAAATTTGATCAATTCTTTATCTTGTCAATACAAGTAAAATGTTTTTTGAAATATTCAAATCGGACGCTCCGTTCTCTTAAAAACTGAGTTGCCGTTTTCGACACTTTTTGCCCCGTATCTTTGGAACGGCTAGACCTGCTTTCGCCAAAATCTAATCAGCACGTCTCCTTATTAATACGAATCGAATGTTTTTTGAATTATTCAAATCGGTTGATCCGTGTTCCCGAAATCGTCGACGAAAATTTGTATCCGCACATACATACACACACGCACATACATACATACATACATACATACATACATACATACATACATACACACACACACACACACACACACACACACATACATCCATTTTTTCTAAGGTATGCCAAAATGTTCAGAAACCTCTGAAACGTAAAGATATATAAACATTTTCATTTTCGATTTTTTTGCGATTACTATAACTTGCCCTACGGGAAGTTAATAAAAGTGAAACAAAAGCTAAACTGCAAATATCATCAGAGAGACCACTGAGGCTAATTAAACCGATGCCGTACACCGCTGTGATATACCTTGACATATGTACCCTAGACAATATTAGAATTTAATGTATTCATGATGTGTACATAAACATATTGTATGAGTTGAAAGAGTCGATAATAAAGCTTTCATTAATATCTAGTTACTAGTGTCGTTGATATATATCTTATGCGAAAGGAACTTATAAGCTGTTGAACAAAAACCGTGTTATAGAAGTACCGTGTTATCGCAGGACTGCCGCCATTGCAGTTCCGCGTAGTATTGAAACCACGTTTCCAAAGTTTCGCGTTGTCGGAGGGTTGACTGTATTTTAAAATCATCTTTCAAACTCCTAACTTAGAAAACTCAAATTTATATTATTTTTTCACTGTCACTTACTTAAAAAAATACTTTGCTAACTAATCCATATTATTCTTTGAATGATCTTTTATTTTAATTTTTAAATTTTAATAAGTTTTTACTTATATATATATATATATATATATATATATATATATATTCCCTAAAACGTAATATTACTTGATTGTAACCTAAAACAAAGTTTGCATCTTATAGTAGCCACTGCATAAAAATATGATATTCAATAAACTCACCATATTACTAAGAACGACATTTTCGATAGCTGAATATGATCTTGAGTAGTATCGGCTTTTATATAATATTATTTATTACTTTACTTCTAATTAGAATATGCATTGCTAAAAATATAAATTTGTATAAAACTTTGAGTTGTTCTTTTGTTTTGCAGAATACGCACAAATGTAAATAACTAATATATGAGCTTAAAAAGTATGGTAACATTCAAAATATTATGTTGGTAACAGCGAACACTTTTATATGTGATAAAATATATAATCTAATTGTAATTTCCTATTAAAATCTCATCTTCATGTTGATTTATATATAAATATTATTTAAATATATCTGATATGTTATACCTTACATTATAAGCAATATGTTTCAAATGTTGACAAGCATGTTCTCACATTTATAATTTTACAAGTATTTTTATATTCATTTATAGTATTATAACCGTTTTATATTTAAGAAAAGTGTTTCTTAGCTTGTGTTTTGCTTGAATTGAATTGAGTGAATTATTTGTGTACAAATATACATATACTCGAAAACATTTTATAATTCGTATATTTATCACCGTATGAAAAACCATATACATTATATATATATATATATATATATATATATATTTATTTATTTATTTATTTATTGATTTATTAATTTATATATAATATGACAGATTTTGTTTGATGTCGATAAAAAGTATTAATATTGATTACTATAATTGATTTTGTAGCATTGATATTTGCGTTGAGTAAAATAACTCAGAAACGATATTATTAAATAGCATTGAAATAAAATTTTAACTCTACTGTTGAACTTGTTAAATAAGTAGCAAAAGTATGTCGTAGAGTGTATTTGTCAGGTTTGCCTACCCTGATCACAGATAAAATATACGTACGTTGACAAATTGACATATTGTTCATAACCTGTCAATGAAGTATAATAATAGTAATAGTAGTAAGAGAAAGTAGGTTTCAATGATAGTGTTAAACCTGCAAATTACTAGTGATTTTAAATATAATATTAAAGGTTAACTTTGCTTTTTACCCGCAAAAACGGAGCAAATAACATTATGGTGCGTTTTGTTATTGTCCACAACTTTGTCATTTTTACATATATATTTTGTTTATTTCTACTTCTCAGTTACAAGGAGGTACTGCAGATTGTGAAGAAAATGAAACTGACGACGATTCTGAGTCTAATTCTAAATTATCCATGATCTCGGTTCAGGATGCTCTGTCGGCTTTTCGCACAGAATGGCAACGTGAATTAAAAGTACCTGATCAAGCACCAAAATCGTCTTTGCTAAATATTAACAGAAACCAAAGTTTGGCTCAAGAAGATGCTGAAGAATGTGTGGGTATTTTATTATTTTAACACTAAACATATTTAATTTAATACTATGGTCTATACTCAATGAATATATGTATGCGACATATAGGTAACCCCCGCATAACACTTCTATAACACAGATTTGGTCTAACACGGTTTAAGAATTGTGATCATCCTCTTCATAACACGGTACTTTCGGCTTTGCATAACACGGTTTAATAATTGAGGAAAGTTTAAATAAAATAAAAAATATAGTAAAACCTATGAAAAGCAAACTTTATTTAATCTAAAATTAGTAAAATCCCCATATAATAGCTCAATTAATGTGATGAAACTAGTGCAAAAGATAACTAATTTGATATATATTATTAGAGCGCGTACGTTCTATCAAACAAAAATCTAGGATTTTTAATAATTCTTATGCAATTCTTTAAATAAAATGAGCATAAAAGTTTATTAAAGATCACTTTACATGTGTTAAATATATAAATATCATTTTGCTAAAAGCAAGTAATTGCAAATATAATTTTTTTTGCAATAAATAATGCACAGTTGTGGTAGTAGTAGAGAAAACTGCTCAGAGGATGAGGTTATCTTGCAAAAAAAAATCATCTTGGATAGCACTAACTTGTTAATTATGGCGAAAAAAATCATATAATTCAAGTAATGTAAATGAATAAATGTAACAATATTTATTATAAAATCATGATATGTAGCATGTTTTTTTGAATTCTTGGAACGTAACCCCTCTTTTTGTACTACCCTTATAATACGGATTCGCATAACACGCTAGGTTTCTACGTAACTACCGTGTATGGGGGTTACCTGTATAAGTAAATCATTATCATGAAAGTTATATATCAATGTCAAATGTATAAACGTCACAATACTTTATGCTTGTTATGAAATATACTCTTGTGCTACATCAATCTATTATTTTCCCCAATTTAGTGTGCATATTGAAACCATAATTTTTAAATAATATTAATTTGTTGGTTTAGATTTTTATTTTCTTGCTTATTGCATATTTTTATATTAATATAATATTCATAATATGTATTAATAATTAAATTATTTATTATATTATTTATGATTTACACAAGGATAAAAATATGTTTGATATTATCTATAAGTTATGAAATAATGTTGAACTATTATTATTCATATAGGCTAAGAAGCTGTTTTGTAAAGGAATTGAATATGAACAAAGTGGAAATATGTATGAAGCGATTCAATATTATCGCAAAGCTGTTCAAATTGTTCCTGACATAGAATTTCGTATATATCGGAATATGTCCAAGGGAATATACAAAGATAAAAAAAGTAACTACCTTTTTATCATGATTTGAATACTATATATTTTTATTTATTCATTTATTTATTTATTTATTTATTTTACGCCTAAATCAATAATACAATATAATTACATTTTAAAGTGTACAAATTATAAACTAAAGATATATAAGAAAATTAGAGTATTAAGAGTTCATAGATAGCTTTGTATATATACATACCATATTTATATATTACTTTGTATATATACATTACGGTGGTCCTTAATATAGACATTTTCGAATTTCCTTACTCCCAAGGGCTCAAATGGTTCCAAATTGATAAAAACAATTCTCTGAAAGTTTTAGCTCTCAATATTAACTTTTAGATAGTGCGCAATTCAATCAAACTTTGTATGGAAATAGCATGTAAAAAATTTTGAAAATTAAAAAAAAAAATTTAGGTATAACTTAGCCTTTGTTGGATTTGTGTCATTTTTTATTGAAAATTCGACGCTCTGTAAAGTTTTTGAAAATTGTTTCATGCTATTTTCATACAAATCTTGGATTAAATTGTGCTCTATCTAAAAGACAATATTAAGAGCTAAAACTTTCAGAGAATTGTTTTTTGTCAATTTGGAACCAGTTGAGCCCTTAAGAGCAAGAAAATTCGAAAATGTCCATATTAAGGACCACCCTAACATACATACTATATTTTGAAGATTTAATATTAAAGTTTTCTTATTGTTAGGCTCTGTGGATGAAGACAAGATATTAGTGAAATATGATGATCTTTTGAATCACATTAAAAGCACAAGAAATCCTTCTGATCCAGTATGTGTATCTTTTAAGGAGCAATCCTCTACTCACATATCACAGTTGCCGATGGAAGTTATTTTATATATATTCAGATGGGTGGTATCCAGTGAATTAGATCTAAGGCATGTTATTATTTTTACGGTAGATGTTTTTTTCTTGATTTCAGTCAGTTACACATTGCGTCAAACAGTTTCAACCGTCACTGTGAGAATGAAAAATATCATTACATATACATAATAAATACATGAAAATGTATTTATTAAATCACAGCTAATATATCTGGAAGGGAGGCAGTGTTGTTTTCTTGTTTTAATGATTTGAAATATAATTTATTGATTAGGTTTGGATAATGACCAAATGCACGCGGATACCAAACATGGAAAACTTTAATTGAGAAATAGTGTAAGGAATAATAAGATTTGTAGAAACAGTAAGTAGCTTAGATAGTGATTGTTATTGCATCAGCAGCATTTCTGAATGTTTACTTGTACTCCTAATAATCTTTATTTTGATCAAAAAAACTGATGTGTTATAATGCATTCTTCACATTAATAGAATGAGTAAAATTTGTATTAGAAACTCTTAAGGGTATAACATATTTTAGTAAATAGACGAAGATACTTATATTTGCACCTTTTTCTTTCATGTATAGTGGAATTCTTATCAAAATTTTCCAGTGATTTCAGCTACAAGTTAGCTCAAAGAACTAAATTGAATCCAAATTCATAAAATGTATTCTTTATGTTAAAATATTGTAAAAATCTGAATTCAAATATATTTTAAGGGTAGTCAGGGTATGAGTAATAATGTCATTATTGAGGTAGCTATTCAATGATATTAAAACTTATCTAGATAATTACTTGTAAATCAGGTACATCTTACTTACACTTTCCTAATAATACACTGACTTCAATTTGAATAACATGAAGCATTAATAATAGCATTAATATTTGAAACTTTGACATAGTGAAACAAAACTGTTTGTCGTATGAAGCTGAGTTATTACTGACTGAACTGAATTAGTATATTGTTGAATTTTATGATGAATTCAACAATAAAGCGTTATTATAAAAACGTTGACTTCATTTTTACTTATTTGTAAGTTGTTTGTTTGATTTTAATACAACATTTGCTGCATCATTCTAATAATGTTAAAAATGCACTATGTAGCACTATGTTAGTTCTTCTATTGAACTGAAGTAAAATGAACATTATTATTTTTCTGTTACTAAATTGTATTTATAATTTTACTATCTGCTATACAATTGATTCTTTCTGTGATTTTTTAATATTAGTCTTTATACTAATTTTCAAACAACTTGAATATGTTTAATTTTTTATTTAAGGAAAGATCTTCATGGTTGAATCCAATCAATTGAATTTGCTGTTCAGAATTGGTGAATGAATTAGTATACCTAACAAGGAGAACCTGCGCATTGCTCGTCTTGGATTTGGATGAAATTTGGCACAAGAGTAGATTTTATGCCCAAACTGACCGTGGTAAAATATTAGAGGCCTATGAAAAGCGGTTTGATTACAAAAATTAATTAAAAATTGCATTTAAGCAGCGCACTCGCAACGCACTGCACACATAGCATGGAGTGTTCTTTCTTATCAGTGAGAGATTGTCCGAGTGGTAATGTCGTTGAATTCTAATTTTTGTGCCTATGGTCGAGAGTTCGAATTCCACTCAAGGTTTCTATTTTTTTTTATTATTTTTATTTCATATTTATAAGTGCATGAGTTAATAATATTAAAATTAATTCAAATTTTAAATTGATTTTATTATTTTCATTAAATTCTATAATAAAGTTTCCTTTAACGTGTATATAAATTTGATGTGATACCAGAAAAATTGATGTAAAACATTATAATTTCATATTAAGAACAACAATAATAACAGTGAAAAAATATAATTTAACCTCTTCTTTTATAATTAAACCGCTTTTCATAGGCCTCTAATATTTTACCACGGTCAGTTTGGGCATAAAATCTACTCTTGTGCCAAATTTCATCAAAATCCCAGACGAGCAATGCGCGGGTTCTCCTTGTAAGTGTTTTGCAAAAACTTCGTGTTGCTTGAAGTATTAATATAAAAAACTAATATTTTTTATAATCATTCTAGAATTATATAGTCGGAGGCATTTTGGAATAATATATTATCAACAGGCCCCATGTTAAAATTGGTTTTAGGCAATGGTTTCTTGGTTTTCAAAACATATTCAATTGGAAAGTGTAGTGTTGGGAAATACCATGTTGTATAATTAAATTAGATACCGATGTCTAATGATCTAAATCATGCGTATATATATTAGTGTGCCTGATCATATATAGCCATTGTATAGATAAATGTGATAGGAATTTATTCTAATTATTTCTTGCATTCATTTGTTTTAATTATTTCTTGTGTTTTATATTACAAAATAGAACTATAACTCTTCTGTCTCATCTCATAATCATATCATGTAGTATTTTTAGAGTTTAATATAATAATAATTTGCTTTTTCTACTATTATTACCAATATAGTTTGATTTTCTCATTACCTCTCTACGGTGTGCATAATTGCATTAAACCTCAAACTAAATAACATAATAATCAATCTGCATTTTACTCTAAAATTCATTCTATTTTCATTTGTTAATAATTTTCTATTTTGTATTTTTTCTTTCTATTGTTATAGATCCTTAGAGCAATGCGCTGCGGTTTGCAGAGGATTTTATGTATTGTGTAGAGATAGTGAAATTTGGAAAACGGCATGTATCAGGTATAGAACAAATGATTTATTAATATAATCGTAATTTAAATATTTGATTTTTAATTTTTTTTGAATATTTCTATGACTTGTTTAAGAACTTGGGGAATAAATTGTGGTGTTTTGAAAAATAGTTCGTATGCTTCATGGCGGCAAATGATTATTGAAAGACCAAGGTTAAGATTCAATGGCTGCTATATAAGTAAAACTACTTATTTTAGATACGGTGAAAATAATTTTCAGGATCAATTTTATAGACCGTGGCATTTAATTCAATACTATAGGTATTTTTGTAAATTGTTTCAAAATTCAAGTTTTTACTAAAATATTAATATTGCATGCAATATTTTGTAGATATTTGCGATTTTTTCCTGGTGGTAATGTTTTAATGCTTACCACTCCTGATGAACCAGTGAATACTGTAGGTTATTTGAAGAATTTTTTCACAAAAAATCATGCAATGATGTCTGGACATTATCGGATTCAACAAGACCATGTCATACTAATAGTGAAAAGAGTTAAACCTTCAGTAAATAAGACAAAGGAAGCAAGCCGTCACAGACGAAGAAAAGACACTGAAATAGACTTTGGAGAACAGACTTTCCAAATAGTATGTTAATTGGTGATTCAAAATTTCATATGAATTTAAAATGCTTATTTACTTGAATCGTTTTAGGAGCTGCAGATAAACAATGCACAAAAAAGGAATTCAATGCAGTTAACTTGGTATGGGTACAAAGTTTATTATAAAAATTATAATGGAACTGAATCGCATAGTACTTTTGAGCTGGTTTCATCGAGATATCCTCCATTTTGGTTTTCTCGTGTTAAAAGTTATCATGCTGAATCTGATAGTCCTTTGTTGTAAATAATATATAATACAATTTATTTATAGACATGGATATATTAATTATGATGCATAAATACATAATAAATTTAGATGGTTTATTTGAGGTTGAAATATGTATTGAATTAAAAAATTTAGTACATATATATTAAGGTTTAAAAATTTGGTCATAACCTGTCTACATGTTACAGTCTGCATCAAGACCAACAGTCAGTCTACATGTTTCAGACTAGTAGCAATTACAATAAGACATGTGATAGTTTACATTACATAATAAATCCTTGGAACTATTATGATAGTGGGTTATATCTAAGGTTTTTATGTCAAAACTGGGAAGGCAACTTGTAGGTCCACTAATTCGGGATGGAGGGTGAGCTTCATGTTAAATAACTTATATATGAATCAAAATAACAATTAAGGATTCTTCGTTTTTTTTTTTTCCTTTTTGGACTTTGTATAAAACTCTGTTTAAGTTTCTTTATAACGGATTTACTTGTTTGTAAAAATTAGCACTTGTGCCAGTCAGTTAAAAAATTCATTTTCATAGTTTTTGATAATATTTATAAAATTGAAAATGAAAATTCAGAATTATTAATGAGAGGCTACTTTAACCCACCTTTGATATTTTGCATTAGCCAATTTTCTCATTCGTGACGAATCTTTAACAGTAACATATATATCGTTGTATATATCATTTTCAGATATTTAATGGGTATTTGTACTTTTGTTATCAAGCAATAGCAAAGATTCAATTTAAACCTGTACTCCTTAAAAACCCAGGACAAAAGATCTAACTGCGGACCAATATAGATTTTAGAAAAACCTGGGGCACAACGTGGAAATCCGGTATAATCCTGACCAAACCGGAACTTATCACCGGTCACCTTAGTTATATCATGATATTAAAAATGTTATACGATTGATTATAGATAAATTTACTTTTCCTTATTTATGAATTTACTGATTTTTAAATTATGCATTAATAATGCAGCTCTTAATGCATTCCTTACAATTAGTATATGGGCAGTATTGAGAAAAACAGAAAAAACTAGTGGTTTGTATTCGGAATTGTCTTGTCTGGCATGTGATATATGGCAATACAAAATTATGTAGACTACTAAATAAAGTAAAATTTATTACATTGACAATTTAGAAAATATACTTAAAACTATTTTGAATTTTTTAATTTCGTGAATTTATTCTTATCAAACTACATTTGACAAAAAAGTTTTATTGCCAAAACCGTATAAGCGCATATTGACCAGCAAATTCCAATTCGGTTTAGTGGTTTATTCAAATATAATGAAGATTTTACTTTTTTCTTTTACTTGAAATTATTAATTTATATTCAATTTTGGTCGTAAGTGATGGATTGTCAGACCTGGTCAAAGATGCCTTTTAGTCCAGTCATTTAAGCTTAAATTAGAAAAGAATCTCGGAATTCGAGATACCCAGCTGTAAGTTTGTAAATAGTTGTATATTGACACCCGAAAGTTGTCTCAAAACCTACATAGGTAGGGCGTCAATACCATATGTATGTTTTGAGACAACTTTAGGGTGTCAATATACAAGTATTTATAGACTTACAGCTGGGTACCTCGAATTACGAGGTGAACTTACTATAATGACTGGACTATTTGCTGTTTCCCTTCGAAAACGAGATAGAAAATTAAGGGTAAAACAAAACGATGATGAATCGTATATAACGAAGTCTTCTCGAAATCCGTAATATGAATAGATGAGACTGATAAATAAAGTATCTATTTCAGCAGCTAAGTATTCAATCACATAATTACATAATAAAATTTAAATCCCGAACTGTGTATTCCAAACGCACCACAAGCATAATTTTCAAATTTCGCGCAATTTAATTTTGCGCTTAACAAGTCTCAATATTAATCTTTGGAAACTGATAGCATGTTTGTCTATGGAAGGACCCGGCATTCTCTTGATACAAATCTCCAAATTATAATAATTAAAGACAAAATATGCTAAAAATCATGAATTATGTCGAAGCAGCAATTGTCCTAACATGATGGAGACGATATTAGAGCAATATGAAAATATAATAAAAAATATGTTAGGTGTCATAAATGAACCATAGCGATGAGTAATATCTTTCACGTTCATTGTCAGTATGGAATGTGGCACGACAACATGGCCGTCAGTGGCTTGCCAACTTGCGTTTGAAGAGTTATTTGTTTTCAATAGGTTAATATAGAGATCCATCATATATGTTTTAATAGTGATTTGAGTTTTAAGTGAAAGTGCTAAAAATAATATCGATATATAATTATGGTTCAATAGATTCCAAAAAACAGTGTTTTATAATAATTTTAACTCAGAGTGAATAACGTTAGTTATTTGTCAATAAGTTTAAGAAGAGGGACTTTCTGATTCAGTGCATACCTAAGGTAAAATTATAATTTAATAATTTCAAATAAGAATTTATTCATTGGTCTGTCTTCGCATATGTGTGTTTTATCAATTGAACGTAATTAGACATGCATTAACATTAGTTTGTCATTGATTTTTATATTGTGTAAAGTTTTATATCGTGTTTCAAAATTGTGAAAACTGGTAGTGTTATTCGACACTAACAGGAGAACAATTCTAAATTGATTTTAATAGTGACAATAATCGTGTTTACACTGAATGCTTCTTGTATTTCCGCAAATTAGTCTCTATTCGCATATCTAAAGGTATTTGTATTTTTGTTTCTCGATTGTATCTGTCTCGCTCTCCCTTGGAATGATCGTGGATTGAGTTATTTCTGTGGTGTGTGTTACATATGGTCAATTGGAATTACAATGTTTAACCCCTTTTAGTGAATGAGGATGAATTAAATGTTGTTGTTGAATAGTGAATTCATTTCTACAGATATTTGTTTGAATATTTGTAGTGACTTTTTAACTTTCAGTTGATTAAAATTACTGTGCAGTAATCGGACACATGTCAATATTCATTTCCAGTCATCTGCTCGATAGTTTGCGCTTGTGTGGAGGCATGCGTTTTTAAATATTATATGCATGAATCAGGAAATAGTGAAACGATATAGATAAATCTCGAATCGTTATTTACTCATATGCTTATATTCTATCGAATGGCTCTCATGTTTTATTTCAGTTTTCATCCAACTACTTTTTAACAAAATTTTATTCATAATAATAAATTATTTATACTATGTAGGTCATTGGGTCACTATTCTGATGAGTGTGTTCTTCAGACCTATTAATCAATGAATGAACATGATTACGCAATATTTGTAATCAAATTATATGCATATTTAATTTTTTTGTGCAGTTTATGGACTTTATTACTTGAGCTTTAACAGAACATATTAAAATACCACAAAATCATTTTCTTTTCTTATATTGAATTACCGTTTTTTTTAGTATTGCAGCTTTGTGTATTATTGATAATGATTCATTTCTAGATAATGCAGTTATATACACGCATATTTATCGACAGTTTTGTGAGATATTAATGATACATTATATTATATATTAGATGGTAGAGTCTTGGATTTGTAAATATTTTGTAGAGCTTCGAACAAAGAATCCAAAAAGTAATAAAAACAAAAGTTTTTTGAAAAACCATTTTTTTATTTATGTACTGTCGACGTTTCGGAACTAGGTACGTTCCATCTTCAGGACATATGTCAAGAAACATGATCTTGATAAGATTTAAGCAAACAATATGTTTAAGAAAAGCCGAAGATGATGGATTTTTTTTATTTAAAATGAATAAAATTATGGAAAAAATAATGTACAGAAATATGTCAATATAATCAAAATGAAAATGATAATAATAAATGAGTGGATTATATTACAAAATATTAAAAATGTTAAAAAATTAGCAAGTTTAAGAAAGGTAATCTTCGTAAAAGGTTGTGGAAAAAACAGAACTGTATGATTGATTATAAACTAACACTTTTTCACTAAAAAAGATTTTATCAAAAAAGTGATTTTATAATCACTAATCACTAAATTTCTTTTCAGACGAAGAAATAAATTTTGTAATTCAAAATTTCTTTAAATTATGTATTTTTTGAGTTTGTTATGTGAGACAAAAAGTATTATTCAATTAACATTATTCAACAGTATTATTCAGTTAACAAACTGATTATTGAACGAAAGATTTTTAAGAAGAAAATCCTTGAACTTAAAATCTGTGTATATATATGTGAGTGTTGTTTTTATATTTCAGGATGTAAATACCTAAATTATTGATCTTAATGGATGTCGATAATAATTATTTGTCAAAAAGTGTAAAAAAATTAAATAAGGATCATGTAACAGGCTGTGATCTGATCTAACACTTCATAAGTATAAGACAACTTTTGACAAACAAAAAACTTTTTTGTTTTTTATTACTTTTTGCATTCCTTGTTCGAAGCTTTGCAATATATATATATATATATATATATATATATATATATATATATATGTGTGTGTGTGTGTGTGTGTATTGAATATTTAATTTTTTTATCGATGCTCAAAGATATGACAGTTTGGTGAACTCAAAGCTCAGCAAATGCATTGATAATGGGTTAGACTAATAAGTCACGTTTTTGATGATTATTAAAATTTTTATCAGATAAATAAATAAAAAAATAGAAACATCTATAATGCTTTTATTACTACAGAGACAATTCAAAATTTTAATTTTGGTTTGTAAAGATAATAATATAAGTTATAAAGATATAATTTTCTTTTACTCTCTAGTATTTTGTTTTTTATAAATTATACATTTTGTTAAAAATAATTCTGTTATTTGCTCCAATTGAAGATATTTACGCTATCAATCATATATTGAATTAAATATTTCATCACCTCAAGATTCATATAAATTATTCATACCTTTTAGAAAGGTTTCTATATTTAAATAATCATTTTATAACAACTTTTTCCAAATGCGAATACCATTTTTATCCGATAAGTTTTTGTAACATTTTTTAAATTCTTTGTTTGTGATTTGTAATGTAAATAATATTCAATTTCATTTCATATATTCTATCAACTTTTCTAAACTTTATGGAAAACACTAATTAAGAACCACCTTTAAAAACAATGATGCCCTTTGTTTTGGTATTTCAAACAAACTAGCTTATACACACATAAAATTTAGTTTTGATCATGAAACGGAAAGTTTCCGCCGTATCTACATATTTCCATCATGCTATGTACTAAGAATTCGTAACTATAACAAACATTTTGTAGTTTTATAGTGAAATATTTTGAGAGTAAAACAATAAAAATGTTATTGAAGATATAAGCAAATTACTGTTTAGTGTTTATAATTTCGTGTGAAAGCAAAATTTTTAAATTTTGTTTTCAAAAACCATGCAAGATCGACAAAGTGTAAAATAAGTACCATGCAAAACGGAGGATAGGTGTATATAAAGCTCAATTTATAGCCAAAATTACATTGGCAGCATAAATTTGCAGAAAAAGGAAATCTGAAAATCGAATATTTTGGCCAATTTAAAATGAAAATAGGTATGACATATGATGTCTAACATTATTTCACGTGGAAATAACCTAATCTAATCTAAAGATAGTATAAATTTATATTTGAAATATTATATTATTATTAGTAATAATTAACTTCCCGTAGGGCAAGTTATTGTAATGGGCCGCAAATCTCGTATTGAAAGTTTTTACATTTCTCGACGTTTTGAAGGTTTCTGAACATTTTGGCATACCTCAGAAAAAAGGATGTGTGTGGGTGAGTGTGTATGTATTATGGATACAATTTTTCGTCCACGTTTTCGGGCGCACGGATCAACCGATTTGAATGGTTCAAAAAACATTCGATTACTATTAATAGGGAGATGTGCTGATTAGTTTTTGGCAAAGGCAGATCCAGCCGATTAGGAGATACGGAGCAAAGAGTGCAGAAAATAGAAATCGAGTTTTTGAGAGATCGGAGCGTCCGATTTCAATGATCACAAGAATATTCAATTTGTAATGACGGGGAGAAGGATGATTAGTTTTTGGCAAAGGCAGGTCCAGCGGTTTCGGAGATACAGAGCTAAATGTGCAAAAAATGGCAGTTTTCGAGAGAACTAAGCGTCCGATTTGAATGATTCCAAAAACTTTCTGCTTGTTTTAACAAAATAATTGATTCTGAAAAAAAAATTTTTGCTTCAAATTTTTTTTTTTAATTTTTTTTCCAAAAAATTTTTTTTGTATATCGAAAATAATTTAGATTTTTATTTTAATTATGTTCTAATATACTTTAAACAAATAATTTCAACTTTCCAATTTAGTTTATATAATTCTTATAAATATAAATAGACAATGTTACAATATTTATAATTATCTATTTTAAAACATTTAATATTTCTCGATCATTTCGTTACGGTACGGGAAGTTCCAGCAATTTGCCTTAAGGCACGATGCCATAGACCCCACTAGTTTATCACATAATTTTGGCATTTAGAAATTTGAAAAAAAGTGAAACAGTTGATTTCAATGATATTTTATTATTCACATCAGAACACAATTTGTTAAAATATAATATCACTGACAAAGCCTAACTACCGCGACGATACTGAGTTATAAATTATAAGCTCTTGTAATTTGTAGTACCTTTATAAATATCTTGCTTTCCTGAAAATTTTTAGAAAACGTCATACTGTTCAGTAAAAGAACCAGACTTTCTGAGGATAACTGTTCTTTGTATGTTTTTTTTCATAAGGGGTGGTGTGGCTCTAATCTTCTGCGTGCTATAGGATTTATTTTTAGTAAAGGTGATTCTAAAATATTTAGTTAAATTATTAACTCCCTTCATTTAAGTGAGTTTTGGATACATCCTCCACATTTAGACTTTCCTATTTTAATTTCCACAACTCATTTGCTTCAATATTTTTTGTCACATTTATATTTCTATTTCTGCCTTAGACAGCACCACAAAATTTGCAAGTTTATTGCAAATACTTAATTTTCAACAGTAGTTAATACTTGATTTTATTGACATGCAGTTGAACTTTTTCTTCAATTTCTTCAACGTTCAAATCGTTCAATACCCACGCAACATCACTTAATCGCTCTTCTTATTTATTGGTCAGAAATCGTGTTTTGCGTAGCAGCAAAACAGGATACCATCATATACGGATGCCCAAAGGATTGACAGAAATTTTTAAAATAATTTGATGATGTTTCATGATAAAATAGGTGCAAGTATATGAAAAAAAAACACATTTGTTGCTGTTGATGTTGAAAAGAACTATACCAAGTTAGCAGATTTGCAGATAATTATTCCCTCATTCTCACCCACATTCTTTCCAAAACAAACGATTGAACTGATTTTATAAATATCCATCATTCGATAGATATTAATTGGGCTTGGTAGTGTAATTAGGCATTAATATTACATTCTCTAATGAGTAAATTCAGATAATTTTGTCTATGCTGTTAAATATTTTTTACATATGAGATATAATATAAACTAATGGTGTATGGCATCGTGCCTTAAGGCAAATTGCTGGAACATTCCGCAGCGTAACGAAATGTTCGAGGAATATTAAATGTTTTCAAATAGATTAATATAAATATTGTAACATTGTCTAATATTTATATAAACTGAATTGCAATATTAAAACCATTATATTTAAATTATATAAGTAAGCTTTAGAACTAAATTTAGAATTAAAATTAAAATCTGAATTATTTTCGGTATACAAAAATAAAATTGAAGAAATTTTTTTGAACATTTAGCCTTGTATCTTCGAAATGGCTGGACCTATCTTTGCCGAAAACTAATCACCTATTCTCCCAATCATTACAAATGGAATGTTCCTTGGATCATTCAAATCGGATACTCCGTTCTCTCAAATACTCGATTTCTATTTTCTGCACTCTCCTTATCTTTGCCAAGAACTAATCACCACATCTCCCTATCAATAAGAATTGAATTTTTTTGAACCATTCAAATCGGTCGATCCGTGCGCCCGAAAACGTGGAAAAAATGCACATCCATTTTTTCTCTAAAACGTGAAGATATGCAAAAAAAATTATTTTCGATTTTCGGTCCATTACTTACCCTACGGGAAGCTAATAAACGACATTGCCTATTAAACTGATTTTTTTGAATATCCAAAAACTGATCAGCTTTATGGTATGATATAATTATATGAGATATTATAGAGATGATTAGTTCACAAGGATATCATTTGACTTTAGGATCACTATCGCTATCATATTAAGCACATGAAATTAATACCGAACGATTTTGGTCATTATAATTCGCATGTTATATACAATATATGATACATGATATAAGCGTTCAAGATTATTGAATTGGTAGTAGTAGAAGATGCAGTAGCTTTTACCGAAGAATTGTGTAACTTCTTTTAATAACAGATTCTGAACATGTGCACTTAACTCACAATCAGTGTCGAAATACATTTGTTATCTACAGAGTAATGATTTTTGGTTTTGAATTTCAAATATTCTGAGAGTTATCATGTTTAATAAAAGATTGGACTCGTTATGACTCATGTCATAAAGGGTTAAGGGGAATTGCCGGTACTTTTCGTTTTGTAATCAGTATTTAAGACGAATAATTTGAATGCCGATAAAATCATTAACGAATTTCAAACTGAAAGACTTCAGTATAAATCAGGAAAGTAATCTACTTCTGACAATTGTATAAACTTTTTTTTGAATTATGAATTTTTAATGCACTTTTTAAAAAGCGACTGTTAAGTTCTGCATACTGTTTCAAAATAAATAAATTAGCTTTTAATTATATTTAAAAAAAAATTCTTATAAAATTAAGTTGAAAATATTTTAATGTAGATTTTATCGTGGCAAAAATATCAAAAATGTATTAAGATTGAATACAGAATAGTTAGTTTATTCACCACTGCTAATTTTACAAGTAAACGGTGACAACATTGCATACAACTAATTTTTAACTTCCCGTGGGGTAGTTATAGTAATGGGCCGAAAATCGAAAATGAAAATTTTTGCATTTCTCGACGTTTTGAAGGTTTCTGAGCATTTTGGCATACCTCAGAAAAAATGGATGTGTGTGTTGTGTGTCCGCATTTTTTCTGATTTGAATGGTTAAAAAAACATTCGATTCCTGTTAATAGGGAGATGTGCTGATTAGTTTTGGCAAAGGCAGGTTCAGCCGTTACGGAGATATGGAGTAAAGAGTGCAGAAAATAGAATTCGAGTTTTGTATGATCCGATTTGTATGATCCAAAAAACATTCAGTTCGTAATGACCGGAAAAAGTGGTTATTAGTTTTTGGCAAAGGTAGGCCCAGCGATTTCGGAGATACATAGCTAAATATTAAAAAAATGGAAGTTTTTGAGAGAACTAAGCGTCTGATTTAATTGATTCAAAGAACTTTCTGATTGTTTCAACAAAATAATTGCTTCTGGAAAAAAATTGTTTCTAATTGTCTTTTTTTTTTCAAAAAATATGTTTGTAATTTTGGATTGAAAATTCAAAAAATCACCCAGGCTAAGCACAGTCTAAGCGCCACTCTGGTACAAATGTTTACCCAAGTGCGTTTAGACTGTTTATGTACTGGAGCACTTTTCCAATTTTGTGAAAACTATTGAAAAATGTGAAAATTCCGCCAAGCTAAGCACAGTATATAAGTTTAGACTGTGATTATTCGGGAGCACTTTTTCAATTTCGTGTAAATTAGGCAACTGTTTTTTTTTTTTTTTCGAAATGAAATGACTATTGTTAATGTTCTTTCTGGAGATAAATTGATTTATGATTTACATTTGATTTGCTCAGATATAACAAGATAGCAAAAATAATGAAAGTTCCAGTATTTGTAATAATATATTTGAAAACGTTTAAAATTTCTCGAATATTTCCTTACGGTACGGGAAGTTCCAGCAATTTGCCTTCAGGCACGATGCCATACTAGTTCAAATTGAAACTAGTTATTTGTAATCCAGAATAAGAGTCCCATATACTGTTGGGCTAATTTGACTTCATACTACGTCGGTTTTAGAGATGCCAATCTAAACAGTTGTCTCATCTATGTGTGATAAATTTTATAATTTTATGTAATAGGGCAATTATTTTATTGATGCAGCAATGAGGGCCATTTTCACTTGGAAACATACTGCTATCTGCATTTTCAAATGATGTCACTACCGCTTGACATCAGGATCATCGAACTCGGGACTTCTGCTTCAGGTCCAGTTGCTCTATCAATTTACCCACGAGTGAGCCCTAAATAAATATATATATGTATGTATATTAAAATCAATTTTGTTGCGAATAAATTTATGTGCATAATTTTTTCATAAAATGAACGTTTATTGCTCTTTTGTCTTCATATGTGGAAAAATTTGTGAATTTACAATTCGATTCTAATGTTTGTATACATTACTTATCCGTTCTACTGCTTCTCTAACACTATTCTAAAACTCTACCACTGGTAATCGAAATAGCGCGTTTTGTGTAAATGACAAATAAAATTAAACTATTACTGTTGTCAATGGATCGATGGAATGTGGAATTGTTTACAAAATGAAAATTAGTTTGTATTGAAATTGAGTAATTATTGTCGGTCATTCTTTTTAACTTTTGTGATCTCGCCCAGGAATGTTTCGTTTCGATAATTACTACTATAATTAATGTTGACTCAATTTCCATTCTAATTCTAATAAGCACCATCTCAAAATATTTATAGTGAAGTGAGGATGGCAATTTTGTTTTACATGCTTTACAATAAAATGACTATTTACAGAAGCAAATGTAAATATAAATTTTAGACTTTCGTACATATTTAACAAAACTACTCAAATAAAGTTTGATTGACAAAAAACTAAACTGAGACGCAGATGTGTTTGCAACAATGTCTTTTCTTCGTTTATTTCAGTTCCTTTCTTCTATTCAAATCATTGTAGATTGTTTTTCTTAAAGATGTTGATAAATGAAAGATCTTTATATAAAAATCTGGGCTCGCTCGTAGGTAAGTGGCTAGAACGACTGGACCTGGATCAGGAGTTCCGGGTGCGATTCCGCTTCGAGTTTCGGTTTTCACTTGGAAATATAAATAGCAATATGTTTCCAAGTGAAAACAGCCCTGATACGGCATTGCTGCACCATAAAAAGTCATCACTGTTACAATAATTGTAATAATAAAAATTCATCACATAGTTGTAAGAAATTCATTACAACCGCTCATAGGACCCATAAGTTTTGATCGCTGTTCCAATAAATAATATATAAAAAAATATATATAAAAATATTACAAAAGAGTATTACATGTGTATTACAATGTATTACACTTACCAAATTCGCACTGCTTTCCCTGGCAATTTTTTTTTTTGTTTTATTGTTTTGAAGAGCAATCAGTCCTGTTTGGCTAATTGTACGTAATACTACGTCGGTTTTACAGAAGGCAACCCGAATGAATGAGGTCACTACTGCTTGACATCAGGACCTCGAAGTGGGATCGAATCTCACGAGTTATCCCTTCCCTGATAAATATACATGTAATTCGGAAACTTGCTGCATATATAAATATATTTCTATTCTTGCTCAATATATAATAATAATAATATTATATTTCCATATGTGAGAACGTACACCACATACTTCACCTCATTTTTTTGTCTTGTTTGCGTTGATTTTTCTTACTTATTGAACTTGCTTCCTTACTTCTTTTTTCGGCTTTCAATTTCTTGAATTTTTTCATCTCGGGTAAGTTGCCCATCATCTTCAGCTTTTAGTTTTTCCAATCTTAATATAGTGGATTTTTCTTTTTTATAATTTTATTTGAATAGCAATCAGAACTAATGGGTTCTATGAACTGTTGTGAGTAAGATCTTACAAACTTGTTTTATTACAGATGGCAACCCAAACAGTTGTCACATCTCTGTATGATAAATTTTTATTACAATCTCTGTAATAGGGCAAGTATGGTGCAACAATGCCGGGTGAGGGCTATTTTCACTTGGAAACATATTGCTATCTATATTTCCAAATGAAAATCGTTGTCAATGCTGACAACAGGCTGCTCGAAGTGGGTATCGAACCAGGGACCTCTGAAACAAGTCCCGTCGCTCTTAACCGCTTACCTACGGGCGAGCTCCGAATATAGTGGATAGTAGAGTTTTTTTTTCTTGTCCCACTCTTAGAAATATTTCTTCATTTGTTGCATTTTCGTTGAGGAAATAATCTTTGTTTCTGATCCACAGAGGGGACACACTTCGGGCAAGGTAGCTTTTTAACATCGCAATTTTCGCAACTATACTTATTTATGTAATATATACACGACTTTATCAAGACATTTATTTGTTACTATAGATCAAGTTAAATCTATAAATCAAAGTTTTTAATTAAATAAATATTTATTTTTCAACTTTCCGTAGGGTAACTTATAATAATCGTAAAAATGAAAATTTTTGGTTATTCTTATGCATAAAAAATTTCTGAACATTTTGGCATACTCTAGAAAAAACTGATGTGTGTGTGTATGTATGTGAGGATACAAATTTTTGTCGACGGTTTCGAGAGCACGGATCAACCGATTTGAATGATTTAACAAACATACGACTTTTATTGATGAGGAGACGTTTTTGGCGAAGGCAGGTTTAGCCCTATCGAATATACGGGGCAACAGTTGAAAAAAGTGGAAATTAAGTTTTTGAGAGAAAGGCGCGTCCGATTTGAATGATTCAAAAAACATTTCACTTGTATATAAAAAAAATCCATTTGACGGTCAAAAATGATCACTAGACATATGCACTTCAAATTATCAAATATCTTAGGAAGATTTTTATAATAACAACGATATTTGTTACCATTTGTATGAGTTCAGTACCAACATTTAAAATAATGTTTAAAGTCCACTCATGTAGTTCAAACAAATGTCTTGGATAATTTCGGCATTCTGGTTAAAATGATTTGAATGGGTTTCAAAATTATCAAAAAGTTTCAAAATTTTAATAAAAAAATTGAAAGTTTCAAAATTTTCAAAGTTTCTAATTTCCAAAAAGTTTCGATTATTAAAAAAGTTTCTCTTTTTTAAAAAAAAGTTACAAATTTTTTAAACAGTTATAAATTTTATAAAAAGTTATAATTTTTTTTTAAAAGTTTCCAAAATTTTCAAAGAGTTTCTGATTTCCAAAAAGTTTAGATTTTCAAAAAAAAGTTTCATTATTTTTTTAAATTTACAATTTTTTTAAAAAGTTATAATTTTTTTTAAGTTTCCAAAATTTTCAGAGTTTCAAATTTTCAAAAAGTTTAGATTTTTCAAAGAGTTTTTCTTTTTTTAACTTTCCGAAGAGTAGTTATAGTAATGGGTCGAAAATCGAAAATGAAAATTTTTGCATATCTTCACGTTTTGAAGGTTTTTGAACATTTTGGCATACCTCGGAAAAAGTGTGTGTGTGTGTTTTGTATGCCCGCATTTTTTCGCCCACGTTTTCGGGCGCACGGATCAACCGTTTTGAATGGTTCAAAAAACATTCGATTCCTATTGATATGGAGATGTGCTGATTAGTTTTTGGCAAAGGGCAGGTCCAACCATTTCGAAGATACAGAGCTAAATGTGCAAAAAATGGCAAATAATTGCTTTTGGAAAATAAAAAATTGATTCAATTTTTTTTTTTCAAATTTTTTTTTTGTATGTCGAAAATAATTCAGATTTTAATTTTAATTCTGACTAAAGTTCTAATATACTTTAAACAAATAATTTCAACTTTGCAATTCAGTTTATATAATTAATTAATAATAAATGATAGACAATGTTACAATATTTATAATAATCTATTTGAAAACATTTAATATTTCTCGAACATTTCGTTACAGTATGGGAAGTTCCAGCAATGTTTCCAACACAACTAGTTATTTTTGAAACAGAGTGTTTGAATTCGATTCTGTGTTAATATATTGTGTTTGTTAGGATTGTTGACCGAGTCCGCCGCTGATGGTGTGTTTTTGTTGGTTCTGTTCACGTCGCACGTGTCTTAGTACGTATACAACGTTACTGATGTTGGCGATGGATGAACATGAACGTTTCTGTGATAGCGAGTTCTACCGAACCATTTTGCGGGAATGCCGAGAATGCGATGCTAGGATACAAACAGATATAAAAATAGTTGACTCGTTGGCGTTTACGTCGGCTCACGAACACCCTCCAACCGATGCGACGATTTTCAGATTCTCAACGTTCTGATCGTTCTGATAATGCGCTCCTAATTAGGGAATATATTTAACGCGAAAACGACGATTATATCAGGATATGCGCAATTTTATTTTCATTATTCAACTTAAGTTGATTGCTTAGACATTTATATGGTACTAGCCGACCCGACAGACCTCGTCAAGTCAAAAAAAATTGTAATGTGGCGGTGTTTTGTTCCTACTTTTTTTTCTATTCTTTGCAAAAAATTATCCTGAACAGAACCGTCACCCTGGTAATAATTCGGTGTGAATTAAAAATAATTAAATAAAACACTATAAGCATTTAAAAGTAAGTAATTTTAATCATGTAAATCATAATTCAAAATTCAGTTCAATTTTCATTGTAGTGCTTTGTGATAAACGATGTTTTTTGTTTGATTACCTGGCGCATAGACAAGCAAATCTGATGGTTTTCCAATAAGGGAACAGACAACATACAATTTTCCATGTGAGAAACATGGGTTTTCCAAATTAATACCACAAACACTTAATGATACCATAAACGCACTGGAAACTGTAGTCGTTTAATCTCAAATGGCACATCAGTCGGAAACATTGGGATGCACGGTGCGAGAACATCTTCTGCTTTATATTATCCTCTCAATATAATAGCTTCCATCACGTTATATGGTAGTTTTTTTTATCGCTAACCTTCGAATTTGCAACCGTTGCAAAGGCGCGGTTGGTCGATATTTTGCAACATTATAATTGCCGATCCAACCTTTAATTGAAGATTGTGAGGTGACAATCCTAGCAAATCCAGCGAGTTTAAAAACTCCGGTGGATCGTCTTGGTTAGTTGTCGAATCAACTGATTCGCCTGTAATTTGTTCTTGAATTTTGAAATTTAATTCATTTACATCAATATTTTTTGGCTGCCAATATAGCTCGTTAATTAATAGAAAGATATTTCTATGTTTATATAAATATATTCAAAATTAGATTATCAAAAACTACACAAAATGTCATGACAAAGATCATTGTTTTTTCTACAAATTTCGTTGCCTACTCGATTAAAAAAGAAAAGGGCTGTTTTTAGGGTTTTCCCGGCAATTATTCGATTTTTTCTCGCCGTAAGAACCATCCTTGGACATGAACGAACATTTTAAAAGAAGAATTGGCCAAATTGGTCCAGGCGTTGTTGAGCTATGCGCTTACCAACACATTTTGCCATCCATTTTTATATATAAGATTGAACCTAAGTTGATTGCTTAGACATTTATATGAGATTGAAAGGTTTTTTGTTCAAAATGTCTCTTCTTGGTATGTTCTATTTATTACCATCTATGATTATGTATAAGCCTACACTCCATAAGATAATTAGCAAATTTAATGGTGCATGGCATCATGCCGTTTAAGGCAAATGGTTGGAGGTTCCGGAACCGTGATATAATTTTTTTCAAATACTATAATTTTTTGAAATTATCATTTTTTTTCGATGCCCTCTTTTGTAGACAAGCGCCGCATTGCACGGTTAAACATAATATATCTTGGTACGGAACCCATAGAAATGTAAACAAAATTTGTATTTATTAGTGAAATCTCTATGAAATATTTGATAATTTGATGTGCACATATCTAATGATCATTTTTAACCGCCAAACTGCATTTTTTGAACTTTTTTATTTGGTCTCCGAAACCGCCAGACCTGCTTTGCGTCCAAAAATCGAAATTGAGAATTTTTTTGTATCTTCGAAAATAATTCGGATTTTAATTTTAATTGTATCTAAAGTTTCAAGACTCATTTCTATACTTCAAATAAATAATTCTAACTTTTCAGTTAATTTTTTTATAACACCACTAGTTAATTTTTTATTCCATCAAGGGTGTATTCTAGTGTAGAGACATGATTTTTTTTTTCATTTTTAAATCATCGTAAATAAGGCAATACTTTTTTTGCTATTATTTTTTTTATAATTAACTTATAGACGTTACGTTAAGAGTACAGAAGAAAAGTAAAAACAAAAAGAAGTTAATAATTTAAAAAATTAGAAGTTGTTGAAATGGTAGTCCCAAAAAATTGACGCGTGACCATGTTCACGATTGCAGCCCTTCTAGGAATCCGAAATAAAAAAGATTATCAATCTAGAATAATTATTAATCTAGATTAATGTTGCGAATGCATATACTAAGATTAAGTTAATTTTTTTAATTATTGTTAAAAAAATTGTATTCGCACATACCACATATATCCACTTTTTCTAAGATAAGGTAAAATGTTCAGGAGGCCTTGAAGCGTAGCCTTGAAGATTTGCAAAATTTTTTTTTTTTTTTTTAATTTTTTGCGATTACTATAACTTACCATGCAGGAAGCCATAAGATTAAATACCATAAGTTACCATAAGATTAAATAGCTTTATTGCTGGAACTTTATTATGATTTGCTACAGGAGGATATAAAAGAAATGTCTTCAATTTAAATTATAATTTTTATTTAATATATAGTACATCTACTTCAACCTTTACTGTTTTATTTATTATAACAACTATATATTGATGCATAATTTTATACTAAATTACATATAATTTGAAGCAAAAATGTTTCTTAAAGTTTAGTTTAGAAAACAAATCACATATTTTTAGTTACGAGCACTAATCTTAATATGAAGGTGTCTGAGAAGTCATAACTTACAGATTCTTCAATAGTGTGAAAAACAAATTGCTTAAAAATGTTAAGTAATTTATTTTCCTAATATTTAATGGCAATTTGTTAAATAACATAATAATCAGTCCATCTAAATCAATAATTACCAAAGTGGGCCCCTATGAGTTCATGAAATATATTATCATCTGCTTTTGCTTGTCTACCCATCGTCAAATTGTTAATAAAAAAGAAGCATTGTCATTTTCTTCAAGGCCGAGGCCAAGGCTAATAGACTTCATATTATCATATCATTGAATCATTATATTTTGAAATTATACTGGCGGCTTAGATGTTAGATTCATAAGTTAACTATTTTTGTCTTCTGATTATTTCTTTTATTTAACATTTTAGTCTATGCATTCCAAGATCTCTACTACATTATTTATGAATATTTAGAAAAGAAGTTGACTTTGCTTCTCTTTTTGAAATCAATTCGATCATATTTGGTATAGTGTTATCCCATCATAGTGTATTACCCCATTATTAAATATATTTACCTAACAAATAAAGTGAAAGTGTCCTGGTTTCGATCCAAATTTTTATTCATATTAATGGGCCGTGGTATTTAATAATCTACTTTTCTAATTTTCCGCATTTTCTATTTTATCGTGAATCGTCCTGTCAAACATCTGCATTTTCTTTTTCTTTCAATATTTTCATCTTATCTTCTTTGGTCCTGTAAGACTCGAAGAAAATTGTTTTCTTTCTACGTAAAAAAATACAGATAAATCGACATAGTTATTTGCTCTGAATTGTAAATAATTTATTAATATAATATTTTTGTTGCAGATTTTTTGTTAAGCTGAACCCACTGGCGTGATACATGCAGCACTTGCTCCTTCGGTAATTTGCAAAATGAAAATTTTATTTGATGTCAAGGTATAACACTTACGATATATATATATATATATATATATATATATATATATATATATAAATTGTGTTTATAAAGAATATATTATTATTTTTAGGCGATGAAGATACATCCATAACGCAATTTTTTCAAGCAGAGCAAACTTAATTACGCGAATGATTTTAGAAACGGATATTTGCGTTTTTAGAAGTCCAGCAAAAGTTCAATTTGATGAATGTAGTGGTTTCAGCAAAAAGTTAGCAACTGCAAATATCACATGGTTACAGATTTATGAAGCAAAAAAAGAGGACACTGTTCCCGACGTCTTAGTAACGAAGAACACTGTCATCGCTTATATTTGATGGTGGATGTTCTACGGGAGCCCGGTTTATATGAGCGGCGCGGGGTGAAGGGGCTTTGAGCCCCCAAATCCCCACGCGCATTACTTCGTATTATACGATGAATCCTGCTTCTCCACAGTCCTTAGCGCCAGTCGCATCCTCAGCAATTACAACATCTACCGGCTCTGCGAACAGCAAGACGTCGACACGTTCGTCCGGTTATCATAAGAAAGCACTAGCCGAAATTAGGAATTCATTATTGCCATTTGCAAATAGTTGTGGTCAAAATGAATCGGCTAATGCGAACCTTGTTGTTTCGCACAACGCTATTATTGGGAATGCGACGTCTCCCGCTATTGATAAAGATCTTCAAGCATTGAGGCATGCGCTCACGCAACTCCTATCTCTTGGTTTTTCTGAGGTTCGTTTTTAATGTCGCAAGTTATTGTTCATTTTATATACAATTTAATCGTTTTGTTTTTATCATCACAAATTTATTTTCATTATAGGAAGCTTCTCTTCGAGCTCTGAAGTTTGCAGGTGGGCGTTTTGAAGCTGCTCATGATTTTCTCACATGTCAAAAAGGGGAATCGATAAGTGGATTATCAAAAGGAAATGGCAGCGGTACCAGCGGCGGTAGTTTGTGTGGGCTGGGTACCAAGCTAATAAGAAAACCAAGTTTGGAGCGGGACATGAGTTTACATAGAGGAAGCCCTGCATTGGATTCAGGTGCTGGTAGTTCAGGAAGTGATAGCCCACGGCTTACTGAGATTGGCCATCCACAACTAAGTAGGCAATACTCTCCTAGTAGTTTTGGCGAGCCGCCGCCACCTCCGCCTCCTCCTCGATGTTCTTCAACACCACCACCTCCTCCTCCTCATGCGTCCTATGCACAGGTTGCTCCAGCCAATATGCAACAATTACTAAAAAGAATGTCTCCAGCACCTGCCGTTCCGGCCAGGACATCTGTTGCTAATTCTGTATGTGCATCATCTGGACAAGGCCAGACTAGAGGAACAAGCCCAGTAGCTGCATCCGGTACATCAAGTTCTGCATCTGGACGACAACCTATGATAGTACAAAATGGACCACAAGCTCAACAACAGCTCAATCAACAGATGCAAGCATTAAGCCTCTTTCAAAATAGTGGATCATCTACAGAACCTCCACCACCTTACCCTCTTCCAAATGGACCGCCACCACCTCCTTCATATACTGCTTCAATTCAAAGTCGACAGAGTCCTACTCAGCAAGATTATCGAAAAAGTCCTTCCTCAGGGATTTATTCTGGTGGCACATCTGCAGGTTCACCCAGTCCAATAACAGTATCACAGTCATCAGTTCAATCTGCTACACAAATGGCACGACCATTGCCTTTACAAGCTTGGGGGTCTAGGCAAACAAAAACACAGCCTCCAATTATAATGCAATCAGTTAAAAGTACACAAGTTCAAAAACCTGTTCTTCAAACAGCTATTGCCCCAGTTGCTCCTCAAACAGCAACACCAGCAGCTTCAACTCCTTCTCCAGGAACAAGTCAGCCTCCGCCACCTTCTTATGCAGTTTCAATACAGCACAAAAGCCATGTGGCTGCTTATCCATGTCAAAAAACCAACACTGTTGCACAGCCTGTTACAAGTCCAATACCAAATACTGTTATCGTGCCTACAACAGAACCACCAAGTTATGCCAGCACTATGCAAGCGTTAGCTGTTCAGAGAAGTATCAGTCATCATCAGTTACCGCCACCACCTTATACAAATGCTGAAGATAGTGTTTCTACTGTTGAAAGTTCATCTGTACCTAGAGCATCACCTTCAATTGGCAATCATAATCCATTACAAAGAAAATATTCTCCTATCATTCCTGTAGATTCCAGATCCGAAAGTCCACAATCTGCGTCATCTAGTGATGGTCGTTGTAATGTAGTGAACGTTGTTTCATGTTTCCCTTCTTCTAGCACTGAACCACCTGTGTTGACCACACCACCATTACCACCAACTGCCTCATCTTCAGTTATTAATAAAAATAATAATAATATAGTTAATGGTGACAAAAAGGGAGTAACACATAATTCATCCAGTCTGCCATCCTGTAAAAAAATTAAACATCAATCTCCAATTCCAGAAAGAAAACATATAAGTAAAGAAAAAGAAGAAGAACGTAGGGATTGTAAAGTGAGAAATTATTCACCACAAGCTTTTAAATTTTTCATGGAGCAACATGTAGAAAATATTCTGAAATCATATAAGCAACGTCTATTTCGGCGTATGCAACTAGAGAAGGAAATGACCAAAATTGGTTTAAGTATAGAAGCCCAGTGTCAAATGCGAAAAATGTTATCTCAGAAAGAATCTAACTATATAAGATTGAAACGAGCAAAAATGGATAAATCCATGTTCACTAAAATTAAACATATAGGTGTAGGTGCCTTTGGTGAAGTAACTCTAGTCCGAAAGATAGATACTAATCAATTATATGCTATGAAAACTTTAAGGAAAGCTGATGTTTTAAAAAGGAATCAAGTAGCACATGTGAAAGCTGAAAGGGATATTCTGGCAGAGGCGGACAATGAATGGGTCGTTAAATTGTACTATAGTTTTCAAGATAAAGATAATCTGTATTTTGTTATGGATTATATACCTGGTGGCGATCTGATGTCTCTTCTGATCAAATTACAAATTTTTGAAGAACCTCTAGCAAGATTTTATATTGCTGAGTTAACGTGTGCTGTTGAAAGTGTTCATAAAATGGGCTTCATTCATAGAGATATCAAACCAGATAATATTTTAATTGACAGAGATGGACATATCAAATTAACTGATTTTGGGCTCTGCACAGGATTTAGATGGACACATAATTCAAAATATTATCAAAGAAATGGTATGATATACAACTTACTAACATAGTTGTAGAGTAATTAGTATTTCCGGTTCATGCATGGATGAATTAAAGTACCAATAATTTCTTTTAATTTATATTTAAAAGTATTAGTTATTGAATCAATTGCTTAAAGCTATTTTATATATTGTTAATTGTATGTTTTCTAAAAGCTAATTTCATTTTTTGATATATGTTAATGCTGTATTAATTTAACATTTACATTGAAGTTTAATTATGTCTCTTAATACATATTCATATAATTATGTATGGATATGTACGTTTGTAGATTGAAATAATCAATAATATAAGTTTACAATTGTTAGTCATTTAGTTAGATATTTAAAATAAAGTGATGGTTAATTTTAGGGGAGCATAACAGACAAGATTCAATGGATCCTTCTGAAGATTGGGGTAATGAATGTCGATGTCACCAACTGAAACCTCTGGAACGACGAAGAAGAAGAGAACACCAAAGATGCCTGGCTCATTCACTAGTTGGTACTCCAAACTATATTGCACCAGAAGTTTTGGAAAGAACTGGATATACTCAATTATGTGATTGGTGGTCAGTGGGAGTTATTCTTTATGAAATGTTGGTGGGTTCACCACCATTTTTAGCTAATACACCCAGTGAAACGCAACATAAGGTTAACTATAAATGAAATAAACTTTCTACTTTTATATGCATCATTTTAAGTGTATAATTATTATTAATAGGTGATAAATTGGGAGACAACACTCCATATTCCGAAAGTTGCAAATTTGTCTAGAGAAAGTACTGACCTAATATTGAAGCTTTGCTCTGGACCAGAGAAGCGCCTAGGAAAGGATGCTGCTGAAGTGAAAAGTCATCCTTTTTTCAAGAAAGTGGATTTTGACAAAGGCTTGCGACGTCAAGTAGCTCCTCATATACCTCGAATAGAGTATCCAACAGACACATCTAATTTTGATCCTGTGGATCCTGAAAAACTCCGAAATTCAAGTTCGGACTCAAATAGATCTGATGAAGTTTTGGACAATGGGAAACCATTTCATGGCTTCTTTGAATTTACATTTCGTCGTTTTTTTGATGATGGTGGTGGTCCAGGTTATGCTAACAAAATCAGTCTTGATGACAATGACAATCAAGGTCCAGTTTATGTGTAATGATTTCAACTATAGAACCACCATAATAACAAACTTCTTATGTGATCAGACTATCTCGGACCTAGACTCTGGTCTGGTAGTTATTGAGCTAATAAAATGTACATAAAGTTTAGATTGATTTATATAACAATTATCAATTATTAGAGCGATAATGCTTACAAATTTTGATTTATTAATAAATCTGATATTAAATTATTTTAAATATGTATTATATGTTTCTTAAATAACTTTGTTTTGTACGATTGGAGTATTAATCAATGTGCCAGGAATGTAAAACACAAGTGAGCTTATAATCAAATCTAATGTAATTAAATTTGTAAAAAAAATTAGAAGCTTGTTAAAGCTGATGTATAACTCCCTCCAATGAATATAATTAATGGCCTTATACATTGCCTTGAGAACTTTGAGTGGAACATGTACAATGAACAGTTATTTGAATGATTGTGTGACTTCTGGGATAAATAGCCAATTATATAATATTTATATAAAATTTTAAATATATGTTGTAAAATATTGTGAAATTGCTTGCATTGTGGATTATATAATTCAAAAAAAAATTTCACTTGAACTATGAAAATTGTTGGTGCTAAAAAAAACTTGAAATTGTATGTAAATCTGTATGTCTGGTGGTAATATATTTTAATAATAGGCTCAGGTAGTTTCATTTATTAATGGATAGGATTTTATGAGTTGTTTCAGTTGATCTATTTTCTAAACAGAATAAAATAAACATACAAATTTCAATGAAAATTCATTAGGTTCATCTGCGAAGTGGGTTACACTCTAAAATCACAGGTAATTTTGGCATAATAGAAAAAAATGTTTGGTTATATGGGTCTGTATTCATATAGATAAGAAATAAATTTAAGGTATTATGTATATATGCATAAAAAGCAATGTTTCATGTAATTCTACATGCAAGTAAGTGATTTAAAAATTATATTAATAGTGATTGTCTTAGTATACTCTTCTTTCATCTATGGTGTTTGTGTTTTGGTTTTACAAAATGCGGATCAACCTATTGTTTGATTGTATTGTTGTCTTAACTTATTGTTAAGATCAATATTTGATGATATAAACCAATAAAATTATTACGTTTATATATATAATATTTATGGCTTTATGTCATAGACCATATATACCTAATACAAGGTATTATGAAGTCTATGAATCCTATAAAAATATCAAATGAACACCCTAAGACTACTCATTTCATCTAATTTCCTACTGTTTGTGTTACAATCTTGAAATTTCAATGTATTATATCTTTACATATCTAAGTCTCTACATAATTTATATATTTTATTTTCAACAATAGTGATATTGATGAGTAAGACTTCCAGAATGTTCGGATTATGACTTACGCAATTTTTAAATTGCTTTCTATTTAAAAAGTCTTTAAAGAATGTAGTATTTATTATAGTACAAATACGTTTAATTTTAAGAGAAAGTGTTTATACGGAATTTTGAATAAACCTCGACACAAGTAACCTAAATCTTGTTGATGTTTGTTGACAATCTATTTATAATTATCTTTGATGCTTTTGGAATCAACAATAGCTGTCCGAAAAACATGTGAAAAGCATGAGAGAAGTACGTGCGCTTGTACATAAAATTTTGCATGTAGTTAGCAAAGAACAATTGAAGTTGTTGATTAGGCATAAATTCAAAAATGTTTAACAGTGATCAATTATGATAGAAAATATTTTTGAAAATCTTTTCAAAATATTTTTAATAAGAAATTAGAATTTTTTTGGCAAGACGCGATATTGTTCCAGAGAAGAAGCCTAGAAGACGCAGGATCATTCATCGACTAAGTCACTTGGTGCAAGCTGTAAAGACCGACTCCATCTATAGCACGGGCATAAAAACTAACTGATGCGTATGCGTTTTTATAATTTGTCAAGAAGTATACAGTGTAGTGTGTGTTTACAGTGTCCAACTTTTAAAGTATATGTTGTTTTTTACGTATTATAAATATTTTAAGAGCTGGATGAAGGTGCGTAATTGTGATTTGTTCCTAATTTATTTAAATATTTTATCGTCCTGAAATTTCAGTGATCGCTCCGTTACGGGCGATATTCGAGTGAAATCAGTGTTTGGTTATTCGAATTTTCAACAACACAAGTTACTTATTGTTTTCATTGTATATTATATATTCCAAAAAGTATAATTAGAAAAGCTTTCGATTAGCTACTTGCAATGTAAAAATTGTATAATTTTCTCCCAGGTCCGAAGAAAAATATATGATTCCATATATATGTCAAAAACTAGGTTAGGATCTTCTTTTGTTTTGGAGTAACAAAAACAAAAGAGTCGTGTACCCGTTATGTGTGTTTTGTTCGTTTAGTGTTTTCTTAAAGATTGTGTCGAGTTCAGTATATTTTTGCACAATATTTCTAATAATCGTTTTTGCTACATGTAAATATTCATATTTAAACTTGATTAAAACCAGTGCTTCATAAATATGCGTTATTGAACTGATGAAAAAAGTGCTTTGTATATTGATATGATTTTATTATTTTTAGTATCTAACATGTCTCGCAATAAAGACAAGTACGAAAACAATAAACGAACTCACACTTTTATGTCAAGAGAAGAGGCGATTTCTGGCAAATGTTCGCAGTTGTGTGGGATTGAGATAACCGGAGGAATTAGAAACTTGAGTATGGCTATTTGGAATCTGCAGCATATTACAGCCTTGTACCTGAATGATAACTGCCTGCAACGGCTTCCTGGTGATATCGGGAGACTAGTAAATTTAAGAACTTTAGATGTATCGAGTAACAAATTAAGGAGCCTGCCATCAGAACTAGGGGAACTAATCCAGCTAAGGTAAACATCACAATTGCAATAATTATTTTCTTAAATATAAGTGGAAGTTGGAAGTCGGGTGTTATTACTGATCATTTAACACATACAACAACAGGTGTTTGAAACTATTAAAACATGTTGTGTGACACTTACTTTCCAAATGATGCGATTACAACTGTACAGTAGAACCTTGATTAACCGGACTAATTGTTGTTCATAGGCATCCGGATAATCGAATGTATGAAGAATAATGTTGCGTATTTATTAAATACATGGATATCAACGAAAATAATGTTTATTAAGAAATTGAAACTTCCTTATGTATGTACATATATATTTTCTTAGATTACATTACATATATATGCTAAACTGCAGCATTAATCGTGAAAAAATTTGAATTGTAGGTATGTACATGCATATAATTTAGTCGCGGTTAGTAGTCGGGATAATCGCGAATCCGTATAACTGAGGTCCGGATAATCGAGGTTCTACTGTATTTAGTTTTATCTTGCAGTGTTACCTTATAATCATTGTTTTAGTCAAAAACAATGACTTATCATGCTTTGTAAGCCAAAGTATAAGCCATTAGTTTTGTAATGCCAGGGTTCCGAAGATTGTTTATATTCTCACAAATTTGAAATACATTGCGTGTTTATATAATGTAAAATATAGAAATTTATTGCATATATATGACTGAAAACCTTACAGTTAATAAATTACGCGTGTTTTTTATCATCTTCAGATATATATGTTTAAAAATCAACCTTAACCTTAAATTTTAACTAAAGATGGTTTGAAACATGTCTGTGCGTTGAACTTGGTTGGCTGTTTATTTATACCTGTCTTGCACTTATTCAATAAGTTATAAAGATAAATTTGTTAATTCACACATAATTTTATATTTGTTTCACTTATGTTAGGGATGTCAGATTAATTACTTGTAAGTTTAAAATTCTTTGTGTCCTAGAAGTATCAATTTACTTTAATCTAGAAGTATTAAAGTGTTATTTTCGCTTTAAATGGTTACTGCTCTTTATTATTCTAGTGTTATTTCTTTTATAATGTATGAACAGTGTAAGTAAATATTTATTTGCATCACATTGCACTTATATATTTACTTATGCATAATCAATTAAAATCAGATCTTTGCACAAAAATATTTTGATTTTTAGTATTTATAATTATCTTCAAATATCCCATTTTACACATTTATAAATGAAAAAATATATTTTATTTTATTTTACACAGTTTGAATTATCATATCTGAAGCAGTATGACCTAATCTCGATTTATTCAAGGGGTCCTCCCTTAATCACGTGAGGCTTGAAAGGGGGGAAGGGGGTTTGATAAGAGTTACTAAATATCACAAAGAGGAAGAGGGGGGGTCTAGTAAGATATCACATACATTAAAAAAAAAAAAACTAGTTTTTTTTTAATTCTAAAAGTACAGGTCATTTTGGGTGGGGGAGGGAAGTAATTTTAAATATCATCACCAAGGTTGAGGGGGGTCTATCTTGGAATATCAATAATGTGATGATTTTGTTGTTTAAATAAAGCGGTTTACAACTGTAAAATAATTGCTAAAATATTCATTTATTTCTTCTTTATAGCATATTATTAATTTTGATTATTTCACTGAAACATTTCTTCTAACCTTTTTTTTTTTAATAATAATATACTATGATGACGATATGTAATGTAATAATTTATAAAATCAAAAATATGCAAATTTAAATGAAATTAATCAATTTATGGAATGATACAGATGTAAAATAGACTTCTTTTGTGAGACATGTGATTATAATTTCATATTAACATATGTAGTATATTCTTGAATTAGGCTATTAACAATAATCATTTTTTGCTGTTAACATTAAGAGTTGCTTGTTTACGATTATGGGCACTACATTACATTCAGTTTATTTAAAGTACTGTGTATTATATATTATATATATATATATATATATATATATATAAACAAAGGAGGAAAAGGAAATCATTGATTTCGTGTGCTCTTACACTCTTGACCTGCATTTGGGTATCTTACTATTTATTATTACATATATAAATATTTTATATTTTCATATATATATATATATAATTAATATATAATATAATATATATATATATATATATATATACATTATATACATAATATTTAATATATATTATTTATACATATATATATATATATATATATATATATATATATATTCTTGCCTCGGGATTCGTAGCTATTACATAGCCTCCGGTCTGTGCAAAAATACTTTAATTTTTTCCACAGTTTATATATATATTGTTTATATATGTTTGTTTATATATATATATATATATATATATATATATATATATAAACAAAGGAGGAAAAGGAAATCATTGATTTCGTGTGCTCTTACACTCTTGACCTGCATTTGGGTATCTTACTATTTATTATTACATATATAAATATTTTATATTTCATATATATATATATATATTTATATATAATATAATATATATATATATATATATATATATTATATATATATATATATATATATATATATATATATTCTTGCCTCGGGATTTGTAGCTATTACATAGCCTCCGGTCTGTGCAAAAATACTTTAATTTTTTCCACAGTTTTGCAAAATAAAACTCTCATTATTTCTCTTATTAAAAAAATTCATGATTATCGACTGGTTAGTTGTATCAATGTTAGTGCAAAATGCTGTGATGTGTACACATTTTTAGATATAAAATACCATGTTCAATATCCACTGATGATGACATTAATATATATATATATATATATATATATATATATATATATATATATATATGTTTAATTTGAGTTTAATAATCGGGCGTAAATACGCCCGATACGCCCGATTATTAAACTCAAATTAAACATATATATCAACATCAAATTCAAGACTATTCAAAAATATATATATATATATATATATATATATATATAAGCTCTATATTTCAGACAATTAGGAAAGAATTTAATATATGTGAGTGTAATTATTTACATTGAAATTAAATAATTATTTTATTACATCTTCAGCTAGTATAGTTCATTTAATATTAACTGTGGAACATGCAAAATATAACATAATACATCGACAAAAGAAAGTTTGAAGCATATTTGTAAATAAGTACCTACATATAGTTAATCTTCTTAATCCAATAACTACTTTTATATCATTTTAAAGTAAAAATATGATAATACATTCAATATAGAGATCTAAGAACTTTAATATACATTAACAAAAAAATTCCACCTGTTGCGTTGGTTTTTAAACGTGGCATATCTACAATTATGGAAGATTTGAATGCAAATTGTAATTGAAATTTGGTTGATAATGCTTTTTTGTAATTTGTAATTGGTAATTGGTAATTGGTTGCTAATTCAATTTGTGCATGATTATCAGATACACTAAGCTGTAAATAGTAACCGATTTGGTTTGGTTTGGCTTTTCACTATAAATAATATTTACTTTCATAAAAATTATTATAATTTGATTCAAGTCTGTATAGTTTTTAAACAAAATTATTTATGTTTGTAAATTTTATAAGGATTGTAAATAAAAAATTAAACTAGTATTTTATGGTATCTTGTTTTAAGGTAAATTGCTGGAACTTGCCGTAACAAAAACTAATTTGTTTTTAAAAAAGATTAAAAAATTTTCTTTAACTTTGAAAAAAAATATTTTTTTGGGAATTTTGAAATTTTTGAAAGAAATTGACTTTTTTCAAAAAAATATTTTTTTTATATCTTGAAATATTTTAGAAATCTTGAACTTTTTTTCAAAGTACTCGCACTGCTTTAGCTGCATAGAGACGAAATATCGATGTTTTTTATTCCAAAAGCAATTATTTTGTCAAAACAAGCAGAAAGTTTTTTGAATCATTCGAATCGGATGCTTATTTCTCTCAAAAACTGCTATTTTTTGTACGTTTAGCTCTGCGTCCTCTAAATGGCTGGACCTGCCTTTGCCAACTACGTGTTCTATAAGTTATTATTCTGACGTACATCTTAACCTAGATAAATTGTTCTCAAGAACGCAACCCAGTGGTCCACCACTCTTTTTTTTTTCTTGTTAATTATATACAATAGATATGTGTATATGATAGTTTGGTGTATATATTTTGACTTTTTATTTTAAATGTATTTAATTTCGTTTAATATTATTTTTACATGATTAATAATTAGATATTTATTTAGATAAAGATGTATGTGTATTTAGGAATTATTAACACAAAACGAAATATATGAAAATTAAATGCCAAGAAATCACTATTCAATTACTAAATTATTTTAAATCTAATTAATATATGAATTCATAAATAATCATTAACTAATAATTTAAATCAAAAACAAAATTTTACGGAAACATGGAGTGTTTTACGGAAATGCTTTTCAACAACCGATTATGCTATTTTTTATAATTCACTTCTATAAAATATTTGTTTTTATGAAAGTGGTATTACGATGTTAGCATGTATATTCATAAAGTGCGAGCGCAATTAAAAAAAATGTTTGCAAAATAAAAGCCAAACCAAACAGCCTCCTTTTCCTGGAAAAAAATTAATGATCATATATTACGTTTTGGGGATTTGTGATGTCTTCTTCAGGAACTATTGAATATAAAGAACTTTTATTTTATAAATTTATTTCATAAGGGGGCGTCTATTAATCACGTGATAGTTTTTTAAGGATTTTTGGACCCCCCTTCTTCCTTGGTCATACGTCGTTATATTTAAAAATATGAAATATATAATATATTGTAAATATATTATAATATATATAAATATATTGTAAAAAATAAGTACTCGTGATATCTTACTATACACCTCCCTCCCCAACGTGATATTTTGTCAAATCCCCCCTACCCCTAAAAGCTCATATGATTAATGGTTAATTATTTTTAACTTCCCGTAGGGTAGTTATAGTAATGGGCCGAAAATCGAAAATGAAATTTTTTGCATTTCTCGACGTTTTGAAGGTTTCTGGGCATTTTGCCATACCTCAG